GACAGGGTTTCTCTGTGTAGTTTTCATGCCTGTCCTGGAACTCACTCTGTAGACCAGGCTGGCCTCGAACTCACAGAGATCCGCCTGGCTCTGCCTCTTGAGTGCTGGGACTAAAGGCGTGCACCACCACCACCACTTGCCTGCTATTGCCTTCTTTATGGCCAGCTGCTTGTAGACCCTACCACACTAGGGCCAAGAATAGATAGAGTTGTTACCTACCACCTCCTTCCCCATGCCCAATTGCTTATGGGCCCATGCCACCAACAAGACTTGGGCCGGCTACTGCATGATCCCTATTACCAGTGAATGTCAGAGGCCCTGGAAGGGAGCAGAGCTTACTCTAGCAGTTCCTGACAAAGCTACCACATCCTTGTTGTTACCACTTCCATAGTTTTTAAGACCACACAGGGAGACATGCCACCCCAACTGTTGTGTATACCACACCTACTCAGTGTCCCCAACCACAGTTCTCTTGAACCCCCGCTATAGTACACATTGCACTCAAAGCTTTTGATTACAGTCAAAGAATGTATAGGGGGACTACACATAGTTCCTAGCCAGAACCAAAGCCAACCTGGCATGCCTGACACAGCTTCTAGAGCAGCACTTCTCAACACAGGGGTCACGACCCCTCTGAGGGCTGCATATCAGCTATTCGCATGACAATTAAACATACTATTACAACAGCAGCAAAATTACAGTTATGAAGAAACAAGGAAATCACGTTATGGTTGGGGCTCACCACAACATGAGGAACTGTGTCAAAGGGTCACAGCATTATGGTGGTTGAGAGCTGCTATTCTAGAGAAGGCCCCTTAGTATGAAAGTTGCCTTATAAAAGCAGTAGAGATAACCAAACCACCAGATGCTCAAATTTTGACATAGAATCACAATGAATATTCATAAAACAAGGTAATGGGTGCTTCCAAAAGAACATAGTAATACCCTAGCAATAGATAAATAACTAACTAAGCTGATGAAATGCCTGCTGAAGAACCTAAGAGAGTGGCTGTAAAAAAAAAAATCTCAATGATGTCAAGAGGATACAGAGAGTTGAATGAAATTGGGAAAATAATGAATGATGTGAGCATAAAATTCAGCAGAGATATTTTTTAAAAAACAAAGAGGAGGCCGGGCAGTGGTAGCACACACCTTTAGTCCCAGCACTTGGGAGGCAGAGCCAGGTGGATCTCTGTGAGTTCAAGGCCAGCCTGGTCTACAGAGTAAGATCCAGGACAGCTACCAAAACTACACGGAGAAACCCTGTCTTGAAAAACTAACCAACCAAACAAACAAACCTAAGATGATCTGTGGAAAAGAAGAGCTCAATGAGATGAGTTTTTTTTAAAGTAGTCAAAACCTTAAACTGGACTAAAATTATTCTACTACTTAAGTAGAATAATTTCTAAACTTAAAAACAGATCTGTAAAAATATCCCAGCCATGGAGCGATGGCTCAGTGTTTAAGAGCTCTGGCTGCTCTTGCAGATGACCTGGGTTCAATTCTCAGCACCCACATGGTGGCTCACAACAGTCTATAACTCCAGTATCAGGAGATCTAATGCCTTCTTGTCTCATCAGGCATCAGGGATGCATGTGGTACACT